GCAAGCCGAGGGGCACCTGCCTGGACGCCGGCAGAAGCCGCGGGGACGCTGGCGGCAGGAGCAGCAGCCAGTCCAGCTGGGCACCTCCCTGGGCGGCTGCCTGTGTTTGAAAGATGGAATTTTAAATCGCAGATGATCTGAAAATGGGAGTTGTCTCTATGATATTTCATATTGAGGCCAACTCATTATTATCCTGAAGGAATGTTCGGGAAAGCCCAGAAGAAAAGGTGGTCAGGCTCGGGAACGGGCAGAAAGAGTGGCGGTCGCCTGAGGAGATCAAGCAGCGGACAACTGCTATTGAAACGCGTTGTCTGTGTCAAAAAGATAAAGAAATTCTGCCATTGCCAACTTGGTTTTAAACAGAAACTGAACCGTCCTGTCCCCCGTGTAAAACCTGATAGTGGAAGCGCTTTGAACTTGGGAACTTTCTCTGCTTTGGATTTCTGACCCCGGTCAGTGCTTTGAGATGTGGCACTAACTAACTTTCAAATGTTCTTTTCTTTTCCTTTAAACCTAGTCTTTGATTAAAAGGTGTTCCTTTAAGAACTCCCGTGGGAAGTCATTACTGGAGGAGTAGGAATTAGCGTTATCCACCCCCACTCATCTAAATACTATTTTAATTATTTTTCTATCCATTTAACAACTCCTAGAGGCCAAGGATGTGGTTTCACTCGTGGTTCTCAGCACCTAGCCAGGGCCATGCGTTTAGCAGCTGTTCAATAAGCACTCCATGGATTTAACTGTCTTGACTTTCTTGCCTGACTTTAATTCTTTTATGCACCATGTGTTCTGCACACAGCTGGGTGTAGGAGTCCACATGTTCTTGCACACGGGGTAAGGAAAAGCTGTGAAAACTGTGCTTAGGAGACCCAAACCTTCCTTTTTGTTGTTGGACTTCAGAGGCATAGAACTGGATTCATCCTAATCACTCTTCTATGATCCATGCAAAGCCTTCTTTTTATTTATTTTTAATCGTATAAGATCACAAATCTGCCATCAGCAATCTTTTGCCCCAGAAATGCTGCATAACAATCACCACAAAAGCTGGGTGGCTTACAAGCACGTGGCTTATTACTGCTGCAGAAGGTCAGCTGGGCAGCTCCTTGGATCTTGTTCATTTTGCAGGCGGCCCCAGGGGAAGTGACCGAGGCAGTGAAAGTGGCAATAGATGTGGGATATCGGCACTTCGACTGTGCATACCTGTACCACAATGAGAGTGAGGTCGGAGCTGGCATCCAGTGCAAGATCAAGGAGGGCATGGTACGGAGGGAGGACCTGTTCATCGTCAGTAAGGTAGGACTTCCCCTGCAGGGAGAGCAGGTGCAGGCCACTCAGGGCTTTGGTGATAAGACAGACCACATAGCACACAGATGATTTCCAGACTCCTGTAGAGCTGGTGACTTCATTCATACTTGAACCATACCTGACAAGGACTTCTGCAACTTTGTGCACGTGCAAGGAGTGGTGCCGGTGAAGGGCTCAGGGACAGTGTGACAAGCAGGGGGGACAACTAGAGCAAAGGCACAAGGCATGGGGCAGTGTGTGGGGTACAGGGACCTGTAAGAAGTTTGGTGTTCCTGGACAGAGCGATGTTGGCAGCAGAGAGAAGGAGCAGTGAGGCTGGAGTCGTGGACAAGCCTGATCACGGAAGACTTGGACACCATTTAAGGAGCTGTCTTCCTGCAGACAAAGGATCACCGCTGAAGGTTTTATCTTCTATATGAGCGAGAGTTGTGCTGTATATAAGAGATTGTGGAGGTGAAAGCAGCATGCATTTAAACAAGAGGCAGAGGGCAGGAAACCTTAACAGCAGTGTAGGGAGAGGGTGACAGCCTAAATTGGGACAGTGCTAGACGGATGGCAAGGAAGTGGCTGGGAAGGACAGTTAGGAGTTAGGCCCTGTAGGAAATGCTGGCAATAGTCCAAGATAGTGAAGAATTAAGAATTCCTTTGCTTTTTACTTTGAATAAGAATGTTAAGGCCATTAGGCCAGGAGCTGAGATTTCACAGTCCAGCTGTCCTTCCTCAGCTGTGAGAAGCTGACTTAGGTCCCAGCTTCATCATGTGTAAGATGAGACTCTGGGTTTTACTATCTCCTGAGTGATTTCCAAGTCTAAATTTCCATAACTGCAAGATTCAGTGCTGTTCCTGCAGTAGATTTGCTTTTCTGTGTTACCTGGACATAATTTCTATAACTCATCAGTGCTGTAAAAGGAGAGGCTCAGGTGTGACCTTGGCCAAGAAGTCAAAATCTCTCCTGATCCTCCAGTTAGGGAGGTGGTACCTGGGTTCTGAGGCTCACCCCGTGACCTGGGGACAGGTTGCTTCCAGCTGGGTCATAGCCAGCAGAGGATGTCCACTCATTATTCCTGAAATTTAGAAAAGTCTTGCAAAGATAATAAATAAATCACTGATATACTCACCATCTAGAAAGTGCTAGTGTTAACAATGTGATGTATTCTAGTTTCTTTTTATAATTATACTGTGTTTGTAGTTTGGTTTTATATATTTTAATCCTCTTATTTATTTTTGTTTTGCTCTGGCTGTGATGGTGCATTCTGTCACAGTTAATACTAAATAGCATAATAAAGGAACTAATGAGGGGGAAACAAATTACAAACTTTCTACTTCACAGAGGGTTTGGATGGAAGTACTAGCTAAGTATAGAACAGTGTGTGTTAACTTACTCACCTAGTTTAACCTGCAGGATTATGGGGCCTTAGTAACAGAGAACCTTTAACATGGAGTCTGTTCAAGGGGGAAAGTCAAGATAGAAATTCTAACTTTTCCTCATATCTTTTCTGCCTGTGGGTATTTTTGTTGTTGTTGTTCCAGTGGATCCAAATAACCAGCAGCCCTCCCATCAAATAATTTCATAGTGTCCCTGGCTTCTCAGAAGTAGAAATCAGGCAGAAGGAGCTCAGCTTTGGAGACCCCTCCCTGTAGGAGTCCTGGACCATCAGAAGATAATGTCACTGCTCCATTGGATTTATGGCCACCTGGTCTTAGATGCTGTTTTTCTTCCAGATACTAGAAGACATTGTGTCAACAGGGGCAGACATTGTGTCAACACTGGCTCTGTGGCTGATTGTCAGCACTTTTCCTCTCCCTTGTAGCTCTGGTGCACCTGCCATAAGAAGTCCTTGGTGAGAACAGCCTGCTCCAAGACTCTGAAGGCCTTGAAGTTGGAGTACCTGGACCTCTATCTCATACACTGGCCCATGGGTTTCAAGGTACTGCCAGGCCTGGTGAAATCCCCCACTGGCAGCCTGTCTTCCTGGCCATGCCCCAGTGGGTGGTGGAAAGAACTGGGCCAGCAGCCAGGGTGCATGGGTTCCGGGGCTGCGTCAGCCACATACACCTTCAGTTATCTCCAGGCCGAAGCTCAGGAGAGGCTTGGACTTGACCTCTAACCTATGATTTTTTTGCTTCCAAGGCAGTCATTTCTTCAACAAGCCAAGAGAGCAGCCCGTTTTTTTCCACAAGTTTTTAGGTGAAAGCAGGTGTCAGAGCTGCTCAAAGCTGCTGCTCATGTCACTTCCAAGGTCCCAGGGAATTCCTTGGCCTTGTTTCTTCCTACAGGTTATTTCTCTTTGGGGAGTGATGACTGCTTTGCGACATGGGAGTTGCCTGCTTGTCCACCTGCAGCAAGTCCAGAGGGTCTAGGGGGAGATTATTTTTCCATTTGGTGTTATTCTCTTCACATGATTGCATCACACACACACACACACACACACGCCCCTTACACCCTGCTCAGTCACTTTTCTAGCCTCAGTCTCATGTTAGTCCTGGCCAGGATGTCCCTGTGTTCCATGCCCTAGGCCACGATGACAGCCTGCCTGACTGAGGGCTCAGTCACACAGGTGGCACTGGAGCCCTGAAAGGGCATTCTCCCTACACTGGAGTGGGTGGTGACTGCACAGGTGTCTCCCATGTGTGCACCTTGTTTGAGGAGCTCACGATGTGTGCCAAGCTGTCAGGTTTCTTTTTAGATTAAACAACAAAAACCACTTTATTCCTACTACAGCTTTATCCTCAGGCTTTCTATTTAATTTCAATAAAGGGTGTAGTAACTGCACATCACTCACACTAGTGAAGAACGAAAGGTGCCCAGAAAGTGAAATGAGAGAGAGTGATTCAGAAATGAGTTTTACCTGAAATTGCTAAATGATTTTCTGACAACAGGCAAGGATTCCAGACCTTCCTTTCCTGACACATGAGACATGGGCAGTGAATTGAATTTCTAGGCTGGTAGGAACTTAGCTGGCCATCCAGTCTGCCCAACCCTCGGTCTTGTGAAGGCAAAGGCAAGGCCCAGAGAAGGGAAATCACAGGGTTTCATGTGACAGCTGTGCTCGGACCCACACCTCCTGGCCCAGCATTCTTTCCTTGCATCTTGATTCTCCCTCTCTCCAGTCTCCTCTTCAGGTGTGATTACCCCTGAAGCCCCCAATAAGCTCCTTTCTTCTGGTTCTTACAGCCTGGGGATGAAGACCTGCCCTTGGACCGCAGTGGCATGGTGATACCGAGTGACACCGATTTCCTGGACACGTGGGAAGTAAGCTGAGCTTGCCAGCAGCGTCTATATACTGCTGATGGGCCTCTGAATGGGAAGCCATAAGATTCTGAGCTCCTTGTGTGCAGAGATACCAGGTTGTGTTCTCAAAATGCAGTGTGTTGTGTGCATTGTGAAGGGACGCCTGGCTGTGGGACTCAGAGACCTCGGTTTCCTCCTGTTCATCTCCCTGAAACATGCATTTCAGGGATAACTAATCCAGACCTCCCTTTATTCTTAAATATTTTTTATTTGATTAAAAAATATCACATGGTCATTACAAAAACTATAAAAGAGTATAAAAAAGAAAGTTAAAATTCCATTTTCTGTGACCACTTCTAGTATTTTATAGTCCCTTTAGCTCTTTTGTAAGCATTTCAGAATGAAAACATTGGCAGACGGTGAAGTTGGAGTGAGTATGGGAGACACATGGAGGAAGGGACCGTGGGACCATGTTTCCAGCCTGCTGACAGCATCCAGACAAGAAGTGATGAGGCTTGAAGTAGAGTGTGGAATGTGGAAGTTAGGGGAAGTGGCAGATGTGAGAGGTTGGGGCAGTGACTTGATGGTGTGACAGGAGGACAGGAGGTTCCTGCTGACCCTGGCTTCTAGCCCAGCCCACCAGGCACCTGCAGTCTTGCAAAGCAACATGAGGGTGAGGTACAGCCTGGGAAGAAAGCAGGGTTACATTGGAACTTCCTGAGTGTCGGGGAACAAGACTCTGGAGCCACTAGGTGAGATGGACAGGTGCAGGCATGGGAGTGCCGGAGGTTATCCTGGCAGAGGGTTGTGAGGAGCCCAGGGAGGAGCACCAAGCCAGGCCATCCTCTCAATGGAGGAATCAGCAAAAGAGAGATTAAGTGAGGTATCTGATCTGTTAGGAACAGTGTCCGGGGGCCCCAGCCCTTCTGTCACAGATACTGCCTCTCCTGAAACACATGGGTGTAGCTCTGGGCTGTTCGTAGCACGAGTAAGGTCTGGGGAATGGTGCAGAGCACGCCGACTCTGGCTGCCAGCCTTGTGGCCACCGGGACTCGTGCTGACTACTTAACCTGGCACCAGGCCACGCTCCTTCTGAAGCTGAGGGCCAGAGCTTGGGGTTTCTGCTCTCAGTTCTCTTAATAGGGGAAACGGTGGTGGATTAGAACAGCGGTGCACCATCGTGCTGAGGACGATGATAATCTAGGTAGAAACTGGTGCACAGATGCAGTCCGCAGCGGACATCTTTGCCGACACCGTATCAACAGACATTCAGAGTGACAGAAATAATTGGTACGTGTGCCAAGTGTTAGCTAAGTGCTCTGTGTTCATTGTTTGATGTAATCCTTAATCCTGTGACACAGGCAAGGTCATCCCCATTGGAAAATGAGAAAAGTGAGGCTTCTTGAGGTCATTTAATGTGCCTAAGATCCCACGGCTCCTAAATGATGGGACTTGGAGTAGACCTCAAGGGCAAAAATGCTTATAACGCATCAAGTAAAATATTTTAAAGTATTGAGGGAAACCAGCTTTAGGACACTGTGTGAAAGCGTGGGGGCCATGAATTCCAGTGGATTAGACAGAGCCCATGAGCTCAAAATAATTTTTGTTCTCTCTAGGCCATGGAGGACCTGGTGACCTCAGGGCTGGTGAAAGCCATAGGGGTGTCCAACTTCAACCACAAGCAGCTGGAGAGACTTTTGAATAAACCCAACTTGAGGTTCATGCCGTTGACTAACCAGGTGAGCTGTGGATGGCTAAGCAACTTGAAGGATGGAGTCAGCTTTTCTGCTGTCACCTCCACCTGGCTACACTGGGAAAAAAGTGGGATGGAGCAGGAAGTAGGCATCTTCTCCAGTGGCTGTGAAATGTCATGACTATGGAGCAGTTAGGCAAACGATGGTGGCCAGGCGAGAGGCGAGATCTTTTCAAAAGGCCTGTCTGGGGAGGTGGTGTCCTTGGAAGGCAAGGTTTTCCACATGCAGCTGTGGGGTGAATCACCAGGTATATTCAAAAGTGACAAGGGTCCAGCAGGCCCTTATCCCTGGTTAATGATGGTCGGAGGTGGTGCTGGCTTCCTGGGAGGACTCACCAAGGACCCTCTCCCTCTCTCCAGCCCAAGCAGATTGAAACCTGAAAGAGACAGGTGACTAAAAGATTCAGACTCTGCTGAGACTTTAATGCTGAGAAATGACTTGTGAGAAGAGGGGCACAGTGTTTTCTAGACTGGCGGCCTTTGTATGCAGAAAGGGCATTTATTTTACTTAAGCTTTCATTAACATGTTATGTACATGCAAAAAGTTCACACGTAAAAATAGAGCTTGATAGATTCTCGTAACTGGACCTAGCTCTGGACCAGCACCAGAGGAGGAAACAACACAGCTGGCACCCTAGGAGCTCCCACCTACTGCTCTCTAGTTCCTGCCCCAGCCAAGGGCGGCCACTGTTCTGATTTCTGACACCACAGATTTGCCTTTGGACTTTATACAGAAAATGTGACACATTGTGTGCTCCTCTGTGTCTGGCTTTCCTTACTCAGCATTGTGTGTGTTAGATCATTCCTTATTCGCGTGTGACTGTCCATCCTTGTTTCCATGTGGGATTCCACTGTGTGACTACCCCGTCTATTGGTGATGGGCACATGGGTAGTTTCCAGTGTGGGGATACTAAGAATACGGCATCATGTTCTATTCTTTTTGTAAATAAACTTTTTACATGGAGGTATAACACAGATACAGAAAAGTTCATGAATCTTAAAGGACACAGCTCAGTGAATTTCCACAAGTGAACATACTCAAGTCTTCAGCACCCAGAACAAGAGCCAGAACATCCTCAGCCTGCTGGAAGCTCATCCAGTGACCACCCATGAGGAGTGGCCCGTGTCCCAATTTGCAGCCTTGCTGAGCTCCCTGCTTTAAAACCTCACAGGCACATAGTGTTTCTGTGCATAACTGAGCTGGTTCTGTGTTGATTTTTTTGTTGAGCGGCTCTGTAAATCATGGGGCGGGGTGTTGCCTAGACTGTGGGGTGAGGAGGGGCTGCAGGGTCTGTCTTCTAAACAGGGTGAGGAAGCCCCAGGAACTCGCCCTCAGAGGAGTTTTCAGAGAGCCAGCAGCTTTTCTTTCTGATCCCTGACAGCTCTGCCTGTGGGTGCTGAGAGCCTGCTGGAAACTCGTGAGGGCACTTTCCATGGTTCTGAATTCTCTCTAAACTAACATTTATTTTAAGTTCACTTAGTTAGAACCTGGAATCATACATGAGAATTTAGAGTGTTGAGGAGACAGGAACCTGCTCTTGAGTTTCTTAAACTGCCCCTTGGGGTCACCTGCTGTATACCTAGCTTATTCTAGAGGTCGGAGGGTGGGCGAGGGGCATGCCTTCAACAAAACAAAATCAGACCCAGATCTCTCCCTTCCTGGAGCTTATGCCCTAGTGGCAACAGATAGACATTGCAAAGAATGACAATATGTAAGGTGTCAGCTAATGATCAGTGCTAGAGCAGAAGGTAAAGGGGAGGAGGAGGTGGGAGGGCCACTTTTACCTCAAGGGACCAGAAAGGACCTCATTGGGCAGGGAATTCTTGAGCATCAGATGGCATAGGTGTTCCTCAGGCTTGCTTATAGTGGGCAGCCTCTCAGAGACCCCTCAACCCAGCCTGGTACTTCAGAGGCGTGGATACTCGAGCCTGGAGGCGGGTCGCCTAGCTCGTTCCTGATGGAGTCAGGACATTGATGCAGGTCCTCTTTTCTAGGCCCCGTTAGTCTGAATGTTCTCTGGCCAGCTGTGATTCTCTTTGTAGGTTGAGTGCCACCCATTTCTCGCTCAGAAGAATCTGATCAACTTCTGCCAGTCCAGAGGTGTGTCTGTGACTGCCTACCAGCCCCTTGGGGGTTCCAGGTAAGAGTTTGTAGCAGGAAATGGATGCACAATCCAGTTTCATTTGCACAGGTAGCAGAGGGTTTAAGGAAGGTGTGGGCAGGGTGCGGAGACCACAGGTGCCCTGCAGGTGGAACTATCAGTGCCCCTGGTCTTGGTGGGCTGAGGGAGGAGCTGACGCTGAAAACAGTGCAGAGTCACCTTCAGTGGCTGCCTCAAGGAAGGCAGTGGTGCTTAAGGGACATAGCCAGCAGGAAGCATCCTCTTTGCTGAGCTCTTGCCTGGTACTTCCAGTGCTCTGCCAGACCTCTCTCTTGGGATGGGCCACAGACATCCCAATCTCTATAGAATCATCTTCCCAGAACCTGGACTGTGTCCTGTGCTCCCTACATCAGTAGATGAGCCACCACCCACTCGCCATGTTTACCAGAAACTTCTTCCCTTTCTGATCTCCCCCAATCCAACTTGTTAGCAAGATGCACTGGTTATTTTGCCAGGAAACTTGGAGTCTGTCTCATGATCTCTGTTCTTGTTGTCACTGCCTTCTTTAACTACAAATTCTCTCCCGTGATTACAGCAGCCTCTTAACTTTTCCCAGGTTTTCCTGATTCTCAGCCACTATCCACCTGCCAGTTGAAGGGAACCATCTCTTATGACTGTGCCAATCTCCTGCTTACAAATCCTTCCATTCCTGGTATGGCCTCTGCCTATTTCTGTCTCATTTCTTCCTGTAAATATGCTATGCGCAAACGATTTGAAACTATTTGGGGCTCCTGCTGTTCTCTTTACCTAGAAATCTTATCTTTTTTCTTAATCTGGCTTACTCCAGTTTCTAAGGTAAGGCTCAATTTAGCATCACCTCTCCAGGGAGCCCTCCCAACTTCCCCTTATTCGTGTTTCACCCACGATCTTGTCATTATTTTCTTCTCAGTCTCTTCTACTGTCACAGTCTCTTCTACTGCTTGAGTTGTGGGGACTGCATCTAAGTCACGACTCTCGGCCCAGCCCTTAGCTCAGTGCCTGGGACATATTAGTAGCCCAAAAAAGGCTGCAGTTATTTGCCTGTTATTGCCTGTGTGTTTCCCATGTGAAATGGGGCACGTGTGTGAACTTGGTAGCAGTGAGAGGGTTGCTAAAGGTGGATCATATTCACAGCTGAGCTTGGGGTGGAAGGAACCCAGTGAGAGAGTGGGTAGTGGGAGTCATGAGAGAGAAGGGAGGTGACTGATGTCCCAGACACACAGCCAAGTGAGATGGGCTCTGTTTGGTCCCTTCATAGACATTGAGGACAGTTTCTAGCCCAATGTTTGAAACACAGTAACTGCTTAATAAATGTTCGCTGAAAACAATAGCTCTCCAGAGTGCTTAGGGCCTGGCCACTGCTGGACGGACACTGAGGGGCAGACCCGTGGGCAGTCTTCACAGTCTCTGCATAAAGGCTCCCTATGTCCGCTGTCTCGACTTTCTCTTGGGATTTGAGGTGAACTTTTCTGAGATTAATATCAATTATCTATTCATGCTGATGGTGCTGTAGGCACCACTCTAGGTCCTACAAGAAGAGGTCAGAAGTCCAAGGGGCACACCATGCATGGCCAGAGCCCATGCCTTAGACACTCTGATGTTACCACCTGGATCTCCAGACAGATGTGAAGGCCATGTGTCCAGCTGTGTCCTCTGAAATACTATCTGTGCTTATCTCTAGATGGTGGATTTGGAGACAAGCTTTTCTGCACCATTAGATTTCCCACACCGAGCAAGTATCATGATCAGACAAAAGCAGATGTAGAGTTTCCACTTTGGAGAAAGTCTTATTGTTTTTTAAGAAGGAGTTGCACATATTTGGTTTCACATCCCTGTACTATTTTTTCTAGTGGGGGCGTGGACCTGATGGACAATGATGTGATCCAGGCCATCGCACGGAAGCACCAGAAGTCTCCAGCTCAGGTAGGTGGGGCTCCCACTGGGCTGGGAGGGCCCCTCTTCGCTTGCCTCCAGAGCCATGGGTGGGGCAGGGGGAGGACTTCTCACTCTGGCCCAGCTGGTGACTAAGTAGAACTGTCTGGTGTTCCCCAGCCCCTTGGGACCTCTATGGTCCTGTTCATTCAGGCCCCATGATTGATTCTCTGCATGCCTGAGATTACCACCTCCCTCAGCCCACCAACTGAGTAGACCACAAAAGGAGTTTTTGAAACTCTTCCTTGCTCTAATGTCCAGCAGTTTGGGGGACTGGACACATTAATGAATTCTTGTTAAGGTATCAGCAGGTCCTCTGAGCTCCTCAGGCCAGTGGCCGTCCTTCCAGATGTGCTGGTGGGACAGTGCAGAAGCACCATGTGGTCCCTAAGGACTCTGGAATGGAGAGCTGGTAGTGACAGTGCCTGCTGCCTGGATCACTGGGCTACACTGTACAATGAAACGTGACCTGTAAGGGAAGCGGCTGGTTTCTGACTCCATGTGACCCCCCCTTTGTCTCATCTTAGACTTTCTTTTTTCTCATGCAGATTTTGATCCGGTTTCAGATCCAGAGGGATGTGATAGTGATCCCCAAGTCCGTCAACCCAAAGCGGATTCTTGAGAATATCCAGGAAGGTATTCTCCTTCTTGATGGCAGTGGGTTTGGGGTCATGTGTAAGCTGGGTGGCTACACACTGCAGTGAGCAGGCCAGCCTATGTGGCTCTGACACAGCAGAGGAGCCGGTGAAGCACAGGCCACACCAAGGAGACCCAGAGCTGTGCCCAGCAGCCACCCACCTGGGGGATGCAGATAGGAAGGAGATGTGATGAGGGGTCAGGGTGCCAGTCAGGCCACCTGCCATCCAGATGCCTGCTCTACACCAAGCACCACTCATTAACACTGTCCCCGGGACTGCCCACCCTGATGGGAGGGACCCTTCCAGACTGTTCACTTCTCCCCTCAAACCAAACTCCCCCTCCAGGCAGGACCTCTGACACGGAGTCCCTGGTGTCTTCTAGGCATTTGTGGGGCTGGCAGGGGCCTATACCCCCTGGATGAAGATGTATCACATCCTGCACCTTCTTGCCTGGTCCTCAGTAGTGGTTCAGGGTCGGCTCTCCCATGTGAAAAGCTGTGATTATAGGAGCAGGTCACAGTTCTCAGATGTGTTAGGGGCCAAGTAAGGGGGCAACTTAGAGTACATTTTAGAAGGGACAGAAAGTGAGTATGTATTTAAAATTACAGCGTGTTACGGCTATTGTTAGACTTAATGGTCCTGAGGCCCAGCCTCTCCCTCACTGCCAGGGTGTGTGGAACAAATGTCTGTGTTGTTTTGGATTTGGTTTCTTTGGGGTTTTTTTTAAACAGTGGGAAAAATTCTTTGCTGTACCCCTTGTCTGTTTGCATATGCTCCTCACGCCTATGGAATGAATGCAGCACATGTCTCACCTTTCCAAAGGATCTTGCTGTAGCCAACACTCGGCAAATGGTCCAAGCCCCAGTGCATCCTGGGAACTGAGGCTGAGAGCCAGGGAACATGCCAGGTGTCACACGAAGTGTGTGTTTTACGTCTTTGTGTCCCCCATATGTCCAGCACAGTGCTCTGCAGGTGACACATGCTCGGTTAAGTGGTCACTGAACTGAGTTTTGCATGAACGTTTTATTTTGGTTCCAGGTATTTGATTTTGAATTAACAGAACAGGATATGAGTGACCTCCTGGCTCTGGACAGGAACCTCCGACTGACCAAATTCTCCACGTAAGTGCCTTCAAAATAGAGGAAGCAATACTTAGATTGAGTGATTGCTTCCTGGATGGGTATTTATCATACACATTTTAAGTGAATGAAATCTCAGAATTCTTTCCTGTTTGGGAATAGGCCAATGAGGGAACCCAAAGATGAATGTCATACACTAAGGAGTATAAAAATGTGTGATTGTATCATTGAAATTGTTTCTCTTAAAAACAGTAATCCCTCTTTGTTTCTGTTTTTGACTTGTCTTCTGGCTTCCAGAGCTGAAAATCACAAGGACTATCCTTTCCACATAGCGTACTGAGCCAGCTCCCGCTCCCTCCTCCTGTGCCACCCAGCCAAATCCCAGGGTCTGGAGGGCTCCTCCACCCCACTCAGGGTGCTGCCTCAGAGGCACAGGCAGCTTGGCTGGGGATGGGAGGGATGAAGGCCGAGCTCCTGAGAAATCCTCCAAATCGGTGTGGTCTGAGATTGAAGCAAGAAGCTTCCTGAGAGCATGCTCGCCCCACAGAGAACCAAACAGGCTAAGAATCCTACAAGCACTGTGTGGCGGGACCCACATGGAGAACCTCTAAGGCCACGACTCAGCTTCAGCAATGAGCACCTCCACCCTTCTCCCCACCAGTCACGCTGTGCCCCCAGAAGATTTCCCAGAGAAATCCTTACCTTCCTGCCTGGAAAGGAAGACTGGGTGAAAGTGCCTAGCTGTCTTAGTTCACACAGAAGCATTTTTTTCTTTCTTAAAATCTAAATTTTAATTTTAAAATGCTATTGTTTAAAAAAGTCTTCCTGGAAATCAGATTATACCTGTGAAAACACCAAATCGGAAATGAATGTCATTTTCCCTCGTGCACTCGGTGTTCAGTCCAAGACAGTGTATCAGGGACAGGAGTCCTGTCCCCAACGAAAAGGACAGGATGAGTGTCTCACAGGCTTGTTCAGGCCAGTGTGTGGCTCCTGTTCCCTGCACATCACTCCCAGCATGGCCCAGGTGCTCCTGGTCCCCTAGGACCTGCTGCCAGGGCTCCTGGATGCATCTCCGTAGCGCCTCCTGCCCAGCTCTAAGGTCCCCCCTCCCTCGCACACACATCTCCAAGGATGCCACTTACTTGACTCACCAGTCATTTCACCCGCCCACCTGCCTCGAGCTGTGCTCCTGTCCACAGGAGTTAGTTACTCCTGGTTGTTGCCCCGGGTGCCTCCACCTGGGGCTACCATCCACGTCCCTGGCCCAGTGCTGGGGCTTCCTCTCCCAGGGGAGAGGCTGTCTGTTTGGAGACCAGCCGGCCACAGACTTGACATGTTTTCTGCCTATTTCTCACCAGGTCCTCCCATCTGCCTCCAGTTTGTGAGGCCATCCTTCCTGCTCTCTTTGGTGCACTCAGGACTCAGTGCACCACCGACCCCTCCTTCATATTCAAACCTCAGTGCCTAGTCAGGGAGGTGACATGTGGCTCCTGAACCCCCCAGGCCACTGGCAGGAGCAGCAAATGACGAGCTTTTCTGTGTCCATGAAGTCGAATAACCAGGGAGGGTCCCAGGGCCGGAGTCCCAGGGATCTGCCCCCAGCATGGCCTGGGTGTGATGAGTGTGGTGGGGTGGAGACTACACTTCCTACCACAGTCAGAGGGCGGTGTAGAGTGCTGGGAACGCCGTGGGGCAGCACGTGCCCACACTCTAATGTGCAAAGTTAGGCTCCTGGCTCTTCCCGAGCGCACACTTGGCCAAACTGTGGATTAAGCTGTGGACACTGGGCCTTGGTCATAAGACATGACCTGTCTATCTGGGGAACAAATATGCTGACCAACCAAGCCATGGGTGTCCTCGAGCCCTGAAGGTGTAACCCACACATCCTCCTCTGCTTTCACTCTGCTTGTCTGCTTGGGGCCTTGGATTCTCCTGTTTGTCTCACAGAAGATGAGAGCCCACTCACCCACCCAGACCCTCTCCTTTCCCTCTCCTTTTGGGGGCAAGGAGGACATGGAAACAGAGCCTGGGAGTCTCTTCTTTTATCTAGTCTCTGTTTGGTTTCTAGCTGACTCATGACACCTAGAGGACATAAAAACCATAGGTGATAGAAAAATAAGCTTTCTCTACTCGAGTGTCAAGAATTTGAAGTCCGTGGTTTTCCCTTCTTTTGGTCCTGCCTGTGTGACCACAGAGGCGAAGGTGGCTCTGCTATGAGTCTGGGTCTTTGTTCCTGAGAGACAGAAGCCTGTGTCTCAGCCCATCCTCAGGCACAGTGTATTCTCATTACCCGTATTATAGGCAGTTAGGCATGAGCAAAGCAAGGACGATGGGCCAGGTACACAAACTCACCAGGTCAGAAAGCTGTGGATGACCAGCAAGGGGCAAAACGCGGAAAACGAAAACCTTGCCCCTAGGGTAACCTTTCCTCCCCTAGCATATTGCTGGTGGTGCAGTTTAGACCCCCTGACTTTTCATACCACTAGCCATGCGGTTTAGACCCCCTGACCTTTTCTTCCCTAAAGTTATCATCGAGGCCTCAGTTTTATTTCAGCTCCAGGTCCAGAAAAGCAGCAAAGCCAGACAAGTGACCCCATGGCTGCCTCAGGACCAGCTGCACTGACTAAGGACCCCCTGCCCTGGTGCCAACCAATCAGTGGAGACCAGGACCCTGAAAGCGCACACCCAGAAAGCTGATGAATTAAGCCCCTCCCCCCAGACCTTCCCTAAGATTCCCCACCTGCAAGAGAGAGATAAATACACTTAGGATGGAGGACCCAGTGTGCACTCTCCCCTAGAGAAGCATGCCCAAGACATTCCCTTCCCCCTTCTTTCTTCAAAGGGACCTCATGACACTGGCAACGAGGGGAGCAATGGGCAGCAGCAGCTCATCCCAGGCTAACCCCCAAACCTGTCTCCAAGGCCCGTTTCTCTCTGACTTCTCTGAGCCAAAGCCACCCAGCCTAGGCTCTCCTGTTTCTTCTATGGGTTTCCTTGTTTCTCTGTCCTAACTATATTTTTGCTGCATCCAATAAATTCTTACTTACTTTGCTACACTTTGTCTCTTGATTGAAATCTTCAAGAAGACAAGAACCAAGGTCTCGTCTTGCCAGTAGCACCCGTGGGGGTTGTGCTCTACAAAGTCACCACAAACACAGAACTAGCAGGTGCCGAACCACTGTTTTGAGCCTCTGGGCACATTTTCATCCTTCAACCATACATCATCTGTTCTATGTGGGTTTCTGTGTAAAGTCACCGCATTTTGTATATATAGTGTTGGGTATTAGCACTGAACTCACAGCCAACAGCACTGAAACTCATGCCTGGACAGAGCTTATCTAACATGAATTTTCTCCATAAAGCACAGCACAGCCTCCTTGCTCTTAGGCACAATAGACAGTAGTTCAGCACTGCTCTGGGACCATTTTTAAGCTGCTATAAAATAATTTATTATGTTAGATTAAAAAAGCTCATTTTCATCAATTAATTGCCAGACGTTCCTTGTTTATGTTAAATATAAGAAAGATTCTGCACAATTGTCTCATAGAGCTTTTTATTAATAATGAAAGTATTTTTCTGTTTAATGAAATCATTCTACTTGATTCAGAATGCAAAGAAAGGAGAAAAGCTCAATAAAAGAAAATAGGAATGGTCTAAAATACCAATATTCAAGAAGAATCATTTCTGTAGTAGATCCTTCTAATTTTTGTTCCCATCGACGACATATATAGATCAATTCTATAAGTAATAAATGTGCATAAACACATCTCACAAAACTAATCACACAGAGCATATGTAATTTGTAATTTTAAAAACACATACTGAATATACAGTCCATGCAACTGTTCACTTAATGTTTTCATAAGCAACACCAATAAACATCAGGGAGCCTTTAGTTTTGTATGTTTTAAACTACATAATTTTAACTCATCATAGTATCACTTAAATGATCTCCACATGTTACACCGTCTCATTACCATTAATAATTCAAACCTTTCAAAGGCCCTGCATGCTGGAGAGAGAATTTTCATCTTTATACTTTAAACTTGGGTGTTGATGACTGATGATCCACACACATGAGCATGGAGAGACTACATAGTGTCTGTGTCCATAGTTCTAACAATAGCTACCACTTTTATCACTTTTTATTTTATAGAAACGTTTTTACAATCTTTTAAATAGCTTTTTTACTAGGGCCATTTTAAATATCAAAATTACCAACAAGAACCATACAAATTAGAAGTGCTTGGCACTAAATAGATCCTATAAGGGACACAGTGAGAACTGAAAGAAGGCACAGTATTGCCCCCTTCCACCACAGTGGGAACAAGCTCAGGCGGCCCCAATTTTTGTTGCTCTATGCATGTCTGAAAATGATCAGGAAATCTCCCAGAGTGTTGATTTCTGTATTACAAATAAATTTTAGCCTGTAAGCAAATACTCAAATATAAAATCCTGAATAATGATTGTATCAACTGTCTTTGCATTTACAATTTATTTGCCAGCAGGCATCAGAGCCATTGGATAACTCTGCCACCAGGTGGCATCAGAGACCGACTAACTCAGCTCAATGAGGCTCTTCCTTGCAAAGCCGGTTGGATTTTAAGGGTTTTTTTGTTTTTGTTTTCTTTTTAAACACTTTGTGAGTCACTGGGAGGAAAGAAACAACAGGTAGCAAAAATAAGCACACACTAGGGAATTATAAAGCTGAGGAGGTTTCACAGAGCTTGTGCAATCACATTCTCTGCCAGTTACCTACTTCCCTGTTCACACGGTACTTGAAAATCTCTGTGCGGTTTGGTTCACAAGCCATCCTCCCCTGGGACCCTGCTCTTCTCTGAATAACCTGACTTCTGTGGAAGTTCTTTCCCACCCATCAGCCTGAACACAGGCTCCACGAGAAAAGGTATACACTTGTCCCCTTCAAGGAGCCTACTTGTATCCGATGGCTGGTTTGTGTTTGTGATGACTTTAGGATGGGTGTGTGTGTGTGGTGGGCGGGGGGTGCTCATCTCAATCAATACCTGTTCCATTGGGCATTTTCTGCTTTCATTGGAATGGAAAACCCAAGGATACATGGAAAATTAGAGGTATACACAGCAAGGAAGAAAACAGCCTAAGCAAAGTCAGGAGATGTGGCCAGTTGCGGACAGATCTTAGGGACCATCAGCAAAGGAAGTGAAGCAGATAATGGAGAAAGCAGGGAAAAGACAGAGGCCTAGTAGCGAGAGCCTTTTTCTCAACCGCATTGTGAGGTCTGTTTAATGACAGCCTAGACTACCTACCCAGCAGATGTTTAAGAGGCCTCCCTGGCTTAGTGCACCTTAATGTACCTATTTTTCTCTGAAGTGAAATGAGACCACCTGGTGTAGAATGGGGAAGCAGTGTGCTTTCATTACTCCTGCCCTGCCCTTTGTTGTATTGTTTCCTCCAGATGTGATACACAATACAATGTTATTTTTCCTTTAAATACTCAGTGTTCTAAAGAATTTCAGCCATGGGGAAAAAATCTTGCACACCTTCCAGCCTGTGTACCATTTCCACTGCTCTCCACGCTTCACTGTGCATCTGCTTTAAAACCTTTGTTCAATGATTCTAATGGGTCACCTTAGTTCAGGCATTGGTGGCTTGTCTTTCATTCAGTTTGATACCTTCCTAGTTCTTGGTACTGTGAGTAAAATTTTCATTGAAATCTAGACGTTTCAGGTATTTTGCGTTAAGTTTAAAATTTTATTGTATGGTAAATTCATAGAACAAAAAAGAAAAAAACTAAACAAGAACTACAGACAAGTGAAAAAGTGGACTTTGAACATTTGAAAGCATAGTAAATGGTTAGCTTTGTTTGACAGCTCATATCCCCTACGGTCACCTCCTAGAATGTCAGCATTTCAACATCAGTGACACAGGGGAAAACAAAACAAACAAAAAAGCCAAAGCTGCGATTGGGTAGGTCATTCGAGCTGTATCATTATTTACTTTGGGGGAAAAGATGAGGTTTAGAGATTTTTATTTCTTGATCCAGAGACTCAAGCCATATTGTGACTGGTCAGGCCAAAGGGCATGGAATAAATCAGGCACCTTCTTGTTCTCGAAATGTTGTCCAATCATCAACCAAACTAAAAAAAAAAAAAAAAAAAAAA